GATGTGTCAACTTTTTCTATGTTTGTAAAAACCTTATAAATTGATTCTTTAATTCTAGAACACATAGAACCATGAACACATCTTACTTGGTCTGTTGACTGTTAAAAATTAAATTAGTGACTAGCTATAATCATAAAAAATAATTGATTACAAAAAAAATTCAATAATACAAAGCTTTTAAATCTTTTCTCCAAATAAGAGGGAACTCTTCTCTAACAAAATATTCTTCACAATTTTTTTCTAAAGTTGATTTGATAGTTTTCATGAGTTGTTTTTCATCAGGATACATATATCTGCTTAATAAATTCTTTATGCAATGTATAGTTTCATCCTAGACAAAAATAAAAAAATCAATTGCATAGATCTTCTAATTATTATAATATTATATTATTGTACCTTCCACCATTCACTATCTTTTTCTTGTTGTATTTTCTTTATATTATCTTTTATTTCTTGGTTGGTTTTTAATGCAAGCTCCAATAATTTAGAATTTTGATTTACAAGATTTTTAACATTATCTATTCATAGCAGAACCAATTTCTAAAAATATTTAAATGCAAAAAGGACATTTATATAGAAACCTATAATAGTTTTTGGTTTTTTTGTGATTTCAAAATCTAAATCTTCCCACAATTCCTTTCTTTTCAAAAACATATTGTAACTTTCTAGATCAGTTATTTCAATAAAAGACCCAAGTGTTGATTCTTCTTCTTCTTCATCTTAGTAGATAATGAACTAACAACATTAGTAGTATTTGCATTTTCTCTCTTCTAATAGAAAGTGAATTGACACCAGCATTTTTTTTTCCTGTAGATTGTGAAAGGGCATTTGAATTTCTTTTGATAGAATTTGCATTATTATTATTATTTTGGTGAAATGGCATTCTTTTATTTTATTAAATTTTTGATTTTTTTCAAAAGTTTAAATAATTAAATTAGCCAATCACAACTTCGTATCCAAAAACTAATATTTTAAATCAATATGCTGTTAACATTTAATTGTGTGGAAAGAGGCCATGAATCTTATTTCCTGGATCCAAACTTATCTCAATTATATTGTATTCTGATTTGAGCTTGTGTGATAAACTTAGAAAAATATCAAAACACCCAATTTACTTGTTCTTAGATAATATTCCTTATGAATGAAGGAATAAAGAGTCACAGTAGAATTATTAGTTTGAAAGACAAAAATTCATCAACAAATAGGTTATTAAAACTCAAAAGTTTTCAAAATTCAATGAAATATACACTGCAGTTATACCAGAAAAACTTAATCACTGTGATATTGGTTTATTTCAATACCAACTTCAATATATATGCATTTGAGCTTTTAAAAGAGTTAAATACTAATTTATTAAATTAATGAATGAAAGATTCAAAGATTTAGGAATGTCAAGATTTTCAGAAATGGGATTTATAACCTTGCTAATTTTACTGCATCTGAATATAGACAAGTCATGCAACAATCTGTATTTGTGTTTGATAACTTAGTTTCTACAAATCAAGATATAAGTAATAATAAGATCAGAATGTATCTTTTTAGTTGGCTTACAGAATTTACTGAAGAAAATTTGGAGGATTTTCATGTATATTTTATTTTATGAGAATAATTCAATTAATTAATTAATCACCTTAATATTTGAAGATATCAATTAATGAATGGGTTGATAAATTTGAAAAGGTTTCAGCAACTGAATTAAAATATACCTAAATTTCATCATTGGGTTTATCACACAATTTCAAGTATTAGAATGTTTGGAGCAATCAATGGCTTTAGTGCAGAAGCATATGAGACACTTCCTACTCGCTGATTTATGGTCACTAGTTTAATTAGCTAATTATATCCCAAAGGCGTGTCCCCTTGAGATGTATCTGAATAATTAAAAGGGTTCCCAACTAATAATTAAAGGTTGGCCAGACCATTAATCATTAGAAGGGCTGGGGGTGGGGGTCAACCACACTGGGTTTATTAGTTACTTGCAGTCAAAGACTATTTTATGTAAGGTTATATATTTATTAAGAGCTATTATTATGTTGTTGTTATCAAGGTTGTTATCAACAATATTAACGATTGATTAATTTTCTAATTGGTCAATATTAACCGGGTAATTGATAGATCCAAGATTTACTATCTCACAATATTATCAAGTTCATATCAAAGAAGAGGACATACATAAAATTGCTGATTTATAGTAAGACACAAGAAGAACACTTACCGAATTTTACAAACTTTTTAGGAAACACCATCTATTTAGGACATTATATCTCTTCTGAAGGCATATCTGTTGATGAATGAAAGATTGCAGCTGTCAAGGATTAGCCTAAGCCAAACCATTTACTGTAATTACAGATGCATCAATTATTGCCATTGGAGCAGTACTGAGCCAATATCAAGGGAACAACCTATAGCATATGAATCAAGGAAATTATCACAGAGTTCTGAATCAAATTATGATGTACTTATTTAGAAGGGCAAATGCTTCATTGGAGTTTATTAAGTCATAATCTAATTTATCGTGTAGACAAGCTTGATGGTTGGAAGTTTTACAGTCAAGTGCTTTTAAGGTAAAATATCGGCCAGGAAAAACAATGTAGTGGCTGATGCACTTTCTTGTCTACCTCATCTTTTAATGCCAATAATTGTGAAGAGAGGCTCATAATGGCTTGTCCAAATTATTTCAAATTTGATGAAAATTAATTATTGACTAAATAGTTTAGTCAGTTTAGCCAAGTGCTCATTTGAGAACTTAATAAACATAGAATTTGCAAATACAAAGAGAAGATATACACCTTGCCAAATTAGCAAAGGGAAAAACAAATCTTAAGAACAAGGGCTTAATCTCAGCAGGTCGCAACACAAGGG